GGGCTCCCCGCGGCTACGGGCAGGGCGGGGAGGCTGTGCCCGCCGACGTGCAGCTCAGACTCCTGGATCCCAATGGCCTTAGGTCTCCGACAGACCCTGCAGCTGGCAAGCTGTGCCACCTAGGGCAGCCCCAAAGCCCGGCCTGGCCTCTGCCCCACGGAATGGGATTGCTGAGTGTAAGTCCTGGAGGGCATGGTCCTCGCAGTGCCACGAATGACCCCCCCACGCCCTCTCCCTCTGCGCCCCTCGTGCCCTGGGGCATGGTTGGTGTTCAGGTGGGTGGCGCCTTTCACGCCACCTCCGCCGGTTTGCTGGTCTAGTGGTTAGAGCCCCCTGGGATGCCGGGGACCTGGGATGGAATGAAAGGGCCAGGTTCTGACCATGCAGGTGTTAAATCCAAAGTACATTCACTGGATTCCCACCAGGGTGCAACTTGGTGTGTCCTGGGGCTGGGCCGGGCCTGTCTACAGCATGTCTGTGTGCTGGGGTGGGGGCATATATGGGCTCCCCTGGCCCCAGCACTACCAGAGTGAGGAACATCCCGGGATGAGGTGCAGGGGGGTTGGGAACATTCCCCTCCCACAGCTCTGTCTTGGCAAACACCCATGCCCAGGGGCACAGGGAGCGGGGACAGGAACAGGCCTCCAGATGGGCTTATCAGAGCCTGATTAACAGCTGCATAATAACCCGGCTTTTCATTAGCTCGGAGCAGGGAACAGCTGTGTGGAGAGGACGGCTGCCTTCCAAGTGCCCGGTGCCTGGGACTAAACCTCTCTGCAAATGCTCTTCGGCCCAGAGCAAGACTCTCTGTTCCCGGAGTGCTCGCGGGATCTCGGAATGCTTTCCATGCCACTGTGCTTGCGGGATCTCGGAATGCTTTCCATGCCACGCCAACAGCAATCTCGTTACCCAGCAATGCAGCCACCTCTGGGGTAGCACATGGCAGCTGTATAACAACGCACCGCACCGTTTAAGACAGAAAAACACGGATTCCGCCGTAGGACATTTCAGGAGGAAGACTAAATGGAACGAACGTACCCATGGGACTGTCTCTAGCAGGAAGAGCCATGGGATCCTGAGCCACTATAGTGGGGAGGGGACCTTGGTTTTACAGCTCAAAGGCCTGGCAGAGAAAAGATCCATTCCAGGGGAGTGCAAAGAGAAATCCAGTCCACAGCTTGCCTGCGGCTGTCCCAGGTGGCACAGCTGAGCCCCAGGTTGGGGGAATTACCCTGGAGTGGTGCTCTCTGCTGTCTTGGGACAGGATCCAGGATATCCCTGGCCTCCGGAACCAGCCCCTTGAAAGCCCCCCTGTTGCGAAAGCCCCATGCAACAACATGGAAACCCCTTTTCCCTGTGGCTCCTGCAGGGTTCCCATGGATTCGCCATCCCCGCAGACCTGGCAACATCTCTGCAAGATGTTCCCACAGGACGTAATCCAGGGGCACCCTAGGGCCTGTGACGTCGGAGGGCAGAGCTGTTGATCCCTGTGGTCCCTTCTGCCCTTGGAGACTGACTATAAGGGGTCTGCTTGCAGCCCCCTCTCGGGAGCAGGCAGCTGCTTGGGACCAGTCTGGAAAACAGCTTTGCCCCCCCTCTGGCACTTCTCTGCTTCTGCACCACCAGCCCGGGGCAGGACTCAGCAGCCAGTCCCTGCCTGGCTTGTGCAGAGCGGCTAGCAGGCTTCA